TGCATTGGGCTGAAGATGGTGTTCAACAGTGAGGATAGTTTCTCCAAAGCCCTTTAATGAATTCTTCTGTTGCTGCACTTGGTCAAGCAGGCCTCCTTATGAGCTTATCCATCATCTTCCTCTCAGCAGTGGAAAAACTGCTGCTCCAGAAAACTGCTGTACCCCACTTTAGTCATTTTGTGTAAACAGCAGCACATCTAAAGGCACTTTAAAGAGATAATTCAACTAGAATATAAAGACAGCTTGGTGAAGTTTCTTATCCAAGGAAGCCCAGCCATTGACTTTGTAGCAATTCCTCATTAAAGATGGCGGTTGCCATCAGAGACACCTCCTGCACCCCACAGAAGGTCTCCATCTTCTCAGCAGATAGAGTTTTCCTCCATCCTTCCTGCAAAGAGCATCCTTGCTGTTACCCCAGTCCAGTTTATGGTTGAGGTGAAGCCAGCAGCACTAAGACTAATCCACTGTCTCAGTGCCACCTCCATAGATGTTATTGTTACTGTAAGGGGTCTGCAGCTCAGGAAATACACCAGAATGACTTAACATTGTCAGAAGGACAACTGATGAAAATAAGGTGTCATTTAAATAAAATGGCTAGAAAAGAAAACACCATTAAATTAAAATTTCAGGAAATTTTATCATGTTTTTTAATAAATACTCCAATACCAAGAGAAATAAACAGACGCTAAATGTGAAATATGATCGTGATCATAGCTGCTCACTTTGGAAAAAAGCCGAAACAAACATTTTTATTATTTTTAATAACTAAAACACTCTTTTGCTTTGTCAGTAGAGCAATAAACATGTTATGTTGTCATGTTGAAGATGAAATGTAGCTCACCTAATATGCAAAAGAGGCACATGTGAACATTTTTAGTTTTATGATTTTTTCCAAAAGAATTTATTTCATTCAATTCAAAAATACATAATTAACCACAAAGGGAAACTAGTTTTAGTAAGATAGTATTTTTATTGAAAAATATCTTCAAAAGCAAGCCCAGTCGATGGGAAAGGAAGGAAGGAAAAAAAACACTTCAGTGTTTTTGCTCTGAATCTGAAAAACAACTTCATACATCCAGGGGCGGATTTAGCAAATTTGGGGCCCTGGGCAAAGACAGGCAGGGGGCCCCTCTGAATTGAGAAGACAACACATAAAACAGCCCCATTCTACAGATAGAGAAATGTTAATAGAATAGACATCCATTATCTGTTCTAGGTTGTGTCCCTCTCTTCTTGTCCCTTTTCTTCTTGTTTTCCTCTCTATGTTTTGTACTCAGCTGACTTTTCATGCTGTCTCTAAAGGAATGAAAGATTTTTTCCAAGCACTAAGCTCACTTAGCTGATTGCTCCTTCCTGTGTTTCCAAAAAGGCCAAAGTAAATAACCCAGTCCTTCTTTTCACTGTAGACAAGCCATGATCTGCTTCTCTGTTCTCCATTTTTCATCTGGATGAAATAATAGCTGCATGAATCATGACAGCAGACAAGATAGAGGAGAGCAGGAGGCGGGGTTACCAATCTACTCGCTCTGGAGAGCAGAGTTCGCTGCTTTTAGATGTTGTCTCCAAAGTCTCCAGTAGCAGGAAAAAGTCTCTAGATTTGGCGCTAGGAGCTTTTTAGAAATCAAAGTGCTAGAGGGGTCTGAAAAGTGGCTAAATATAGCGACTAAAGCGCTAAATTGGCAACACTGCTCTTTGCATGGTTTGTTTTCAAATGGTTTGCTGCTGTCTGTTTGGACCTTTCTGAACATGTGCAGCAAATGGACTGATCCAATATGGTGGACACTGAAGGGGGGGCTGAGACACTTAATATTATCAGCGTTCTGATGGCATTTTAGCCAAAGGATTTTTATCAAAAACATAATTAATGTGCACAAATAAGGAATAGTTGTATTAACCATACATGTAAACAGAGTTTTATGGGGCCCCCAGGAACTTGGGGCCCTAGGCAACTGCCTAGTATTGCCTAATGGTAAATCCCCCCTGGATATATCATGGGCACCTTGTGTTAGTATCATCAGCCCTTCACTACCAGCAAACACAAAGTCTTCAATGTATCACAGCGATATTTCAGTTCATGAACATTGACTTTAAAGAACATCAGAAATCTTTGTGCATTAATAAAAGAATCCTGCAGAGCAGCGTGAGTCGGAGCTTGCAATCCGACGAAAGCATCCGTGAGCAGCTCTCAAAGCTGCAGCCTTCAGTGTGACAGCCTGAAGATGGAAACCCTCAGGTGTGTAATTCAACAGTGGAGCCCCCCCCCTTCTGCTTCCACATACGAACAGCTGATGAAATATTGGCATGCTTCTCTCCGTCACTATTTTTCCTTCAGATACACTTGATTTAAAATGCATGAACTTCCCCCCTCATACGTGGCTTCCATGGACTGTATATGAAGCCGCTTCCAGCTGTTCCGTGGAGCTATCAGCAGTTTGTCAGTGAAAACAGTCTGAGAGCTATGAGAGTTCTGAATAGGAAACAATTCAACCTGAATACGCCTTTGTTTGAGATGAAGGGCATCGCCGTCGCCGTCTGGGACTATTAAGCCCACTTTCTGAAACAGTAGAGCCGTGTGTATAAGGACGACTAAAATAGAAAAGCCCCTATTCCAGTTTAGTCTCAGGGGGGAGAAAGTGGGGTGTGATGTGGTGGTTATCAATCTCCATGCTGTTCATTGGGACTTAATTACTGTCTGTCCTGCAGTTTTCAGTGTTTTGAAGTTCAAACTGAGCCTCTCTGTCTTTCTCTCTCCGCTGTTTGTGTTTGTTTCTCATCAGCTGCGATTGTCTCCAGCGAGCAGAACCCCGTCATCATCATAGCCGTGGTGGCCGTGGCGGGGACCATCATCCTGGTGTTCATGGTGTTCGGCTTCATCATCGGGAGAAGGTACGCTCTCGCGGGCCCCATTGACTCTCCGCTCCTGTGAGTCTGCGCTTGTCAATTAGCCTTTCTGTCACTCACAAGCCTCCACCACTGTGGAGCCTTGGCACACGCACACATGTGCACGCGTCATCTCGTGGCATGCCGCGCTAATGGCTTGTGATGCACCATTTTCCACTCCCACCACCGCCCACCGACCTCCAACCAGAGTCTGAAGCTGTTTTTTTGTGGAGCCATTATAAGACGAGCATTCCACAGAGAGAGCTTTGGCCCTGCATTCCTGCATGAGAGCGTGTGGCACGGAGAGGGCATGATGAAGTATGCTGCTGATTTTTTTCCATCATCACAAACCACTCAGTCCATTGTCATTATCCCTCTGCGTGAATAGAATTCCAGCCAAACCTGCTTGTCATTATGAATTCACACAACCCTCCTTGATGTATTTTCGCAGCTCTTTACTTTATTTGAATGTAAAGCTTCAAGTAAAGCACAACAAATGATCCTAAAAACATAAAAAGCATTATCTAAATATGAATTTCAGATTTATCCTACCTTAGACGGTAGGATATTAGGTCACATTGACAACACAGGTTTGTTGTGTGGATTCGGTCTTTCTCAGGGACTCAAGACTTAAAACCTACCGACTGACTATTACACTGGAAAAAAACTAAATCTAGATAAGTCATTTGTTCTTAAAAAACTGCATTTATTCTTAAATAGAGAAGATAAATGAGACATTTTAAAATTGGAACAAGACAATTCACATTTAAAATAAGAAAACACAATGGCATTGTTTTATTTTCAGTGCATATTATCTAATTATCTGATTTTAAGAGTAAAAATACTAATTTCATTGGCAAACTACCTTATTTACCTACTAACATTAAGGGTAAATACACTTCATTGCAGACATTTTACTTATTTATAGACCGTTTTTCCAGTGTAGGTAGGATTTAAGTTGGTTTTTGATGTTGGTACATCCTGATACATCAATCAGATTTGAGACATTCCAACAGCCAAGTCTAACAACATATTCTCATTATCAGTGCGTATGAAATCGTACGAAAAGTTATGCACACTGTTTCGTACGTTTTTGGACGTTTTTCCTCAGAAAACCACATCAGTGCGCATGCGCTGGCAGACAGAGAAAAAAAAGCAGATCCGCAGACGGACGTAAAAATGGGAAAAACAGTGCAATCATCACTTCTTCATGTCTCTAACTACGTTGCTTGCTGTTTTATATCCTAGGGTTAGGGTCAGGGTTAGGGCTAATTGTAATTTATATTCTAGATTCGTGAATGGTGCGTCAGATGCGCATACGACGAAAAAAACGTCCAAAACGTACGAAATTACGGTGCATAACTTTTCGTACAATTTCACACGCACTCATAATGAGAATAGGTTGAGTCTATGGTTGATATTTTTTAATATATTTTATTTATACTGCTTATATGTTTTTAATGCATAAACAAATCAAGCTTAATTTTAGGACAATGTCTGTTTATGTAAGTTCACATGGGCTTCACTGCAAAAACCATCTAGAAATAAGTACAAAATTTCTTAAAATAAGTGCATTTACCCTTAATTTTAGTAGGTAAATGAGACGATTTGCCAATGGAATGAGTATTTCTACTCCTAAAATAAGACAATTAGATAATATTAACTTGAAATAAGACAAAGCAATTGTTTTTTTCTTATTTTAAATGTAAATTGTCTTGTTCCATTGGCAAGGTGTCTCACTTATCTCCTCAATTCAAGACAAAATTCACTCAATTTTAGCAAAAATAACTCATACAAATTTCCATTTTTTGCTGTGTTCAAAGACTTAGATTTAGAGTGTAAGTCTTTGAAGCCAGTGTGAACTCATGTGAATCTGTGTCATTCTGTAAGGTTACCCACTTCCTGAAGTGTCAACCAGGCCAAATGTAACCTCAGCCTTGTTTTCAGCTTAATGGCGGTGTTTTTATTGTCAAACACCACATTGCAAAAAGTTGAAATCTAAATAAGTGCATTTTTTCTTTTATTGAGGAAGCAAGGGAGACATTTTGCCAATGGAACAAGACAATTTTACATTTAAGATAAGAAAAAACATTGTTATTGTCTTATTTGAGGTGCATATTATCTAATTATCAGAGTAAAAACACTGATTCCATTGGCAAACCATCTTATTCACCTGCTCAAATTAAGGATAAAAATTACACGTACAAATGTTTTTATCCTGAGACCGAAACAGGGTCCCAATATTTGTACGCATAAACCCAAATTTCCATCACACTATAACACTTTATTATATCTATATAGTTTTTGCAGTGTGCTCCCCAACCTGACTCAGTGTAAAAACCATCTAGAAATAAGTCAACATTTCTTCAATTAAGTGTATTAACCCTTAAATTGAGTCGGTAAATGAGTATTTTTATTCTTACAATAAGATAATTAGGTAAAATGCACTAAATTGCAAAACAATTAAATGTAAATAAGTCATTTTTTTCTTAAAATGAGTTTTTTTCCCTTGAAATGAGGAGAAAAGTGCCAATGGAACAAGACAATTTTACATTTGAAATATGAAAAAACAACTGCATTGTCTTATTTCAAGTACATGTTATCTAATTATCTTATTTTAAGAGTAAAATACTCATTCCATTTGCAAACTATCTAATTTACCCATTCAGATTAAGTGTAAATATGCTTAATTTAAGACATTTTTACTTATTTCTAGATAGTTTTTCTAGTGTTGAAATAGCACAATACAAATGCATTTTCTTATTTTTTTCTCATGTAAATTGTCTTGTTCCAAATGTATTTACTTCAAGAAAAAAACGATTTTTTTCCAGCGTTGCACCAGACAGTAGAAACATCAGTGACGTCTTTCAGGGGGTCATGGTTTCTTTGGCCTGGATGCTTTATATATTTTTTTATTTTGATGCAATAAAACATGAGCTTGGGTGCGGACTTTCAGTACCTTTCAGAAAGCAATAGAGGATCTGCTAAAGCGTCGTTTCCAGTCCATGTGCTGTGTGATATGTGACATTATTAACAAGCTGAGCTACTTTGCCTGAGCCAGGCTGTTGGCTTTGCTGCTCCTACAGCTCAGCTGGGTGTCTTAACAGATTTGTCTTACAAAGCATTAGTTGAGGAATTAAAATTCTTGCAATTTAGGATATTAATTTCTCCCTGTTGATTCTGCCATTCTCTTTTTCTCCCCCCCTCCCTTACGCAGGCACTGCGGGTACAGCAAAGCCGATCAGGAGGGGGATGAGGAGCTCTACTTTCAGTGTGAGTGCTTTTGTTCTTCTGCCCAAAATACACAAATGTATGTTTGGTTTGCATAGACACATGCTGCTCCAGACTAAGCAGGAAGAATGCATTAAAACTCATTAGCACCCCCCAGCATGGCTATTATCCCAGCTCGTTTCATTTGAGGCACAGCCAGGATCTATCAGGCTAGCTTCTGCTGCTGATTGGCTCGACTCGGTGCCGGAGATGAAGATGTCGGAAACCGCAAACCCAAGTGTGTGTCACCCGCCGGTGAGGGAGTGAAAGGTTGGCCTGGATGTGAAGGAAGGTTCTTCAAAAATATAAGTCTGCCGGTTTTTAGAGAGTCTCAGAGTTTTGTGGTCTGCGCATAGTTTTCTAACTGATGCGCCACCCCTAATGATGCCCCCGGAGATGCAGTTGCAGACAGCTTCTCCAAGTGGAGCCATAATGATCCGCGCTGTTGGCTAACTGCTGATTTAGAAACAGAGGGTCAGGGGTGTCACTAAGCGTAAAGCCCATGCTGCTGAAGCCCAGGCTGGCCGCTGTTAAGTATCTGACAAATGTGGCTCAGTATCTTCAAAGTCCCACCTGCTTCCAAAAAAAAAAAAAAGAGGTGAGAAAACAGAAACAAAGCTTGTGTGGATGGCGTTTAATGGAAGCATCTGGCGAGCGGTTCTGGGTGACGAGTGGCTGTCAGGGCGACAGAAGCCAGATCCAACGCCTAGACCCAATTTGTCTGCCATGTACGAGTGAGGAAGTTGTGATAAGACGTGTACTATCAGATCCACTGACATCTTGGATGGACGGAGCAATTATGGGAGCAAGTGGAGGGAAATCTCAGCTGCCAGCGTCCTCTCCCTGGAGCACAATGGATTTGTTGTGTTTACACTAGTCAGTTTCCACCGTTCAACTTCCACGTCTCTCTGACTGCTCTTTTGGAGATTTCTCAGCTCACTTTACTTTATTATAGAAGTGCTTTAATGTTAAACTCATTGGCTTTCAGGTGGCTATGTTGAATTTAAAGCACATCAGCCCAAATGCAGTTTATAACACATGAAATTGTAATTCTCTTGTTTTCTTTGCAGCATGACTTTATTGTGAAACCTTTTTTTTAGCCTAATTCATAAGAAACAAAATTTCAAATATGATTTCTTGTCACTTCTGGAGCGTGTAATCTTTATTTTTTTTTATTTTAACATAGAGAACAAGAAAGAAGGTCTGATTTTTCTAGCTTAATAACAACCAATAAGGTTTGCAATGGAAAATGTCTCTGGGATATTGAAGCAGGAAGTCCTTCATACTCAGGATTCTTCTTCTTCTAACATAAAGGACCCTGACAGGAAGCCTCCATACCTGCTTTAACATATTCATTGGTGTTTTAGAATAATACCTTTTCTCACATAGAAGTCATTGGGTCATATGTGACTTTGTGAAGAATCACCCATCTATTTTACTGCCTCTCTTAATCCTACTTAAGATTGGGGGGGGTCTAGCCAAGGCTAACCTTGAAGTCTGTATTTAAAAGGAAGGACGCATCATTAGTTCATTCAGAGCGCTCCCCCTACTGCTGCTCTGTCCTAACTTCTTCATTTGTATTTAAAAATGCGTCTTTCCTGCATCTGAATATGCAGGAAACTATAACTATTCAGTTAGTTTTCCTCTGCAGCTGTTAGCTGAACATTTAGAGGTTGTTAAAAACTTTGGCTAAACTGTGCAGCTTAACAGATCATCATATGGAGTTTTTTTTTTTTTTTTTTTATAATTGAATACTGAGCATCTGTAACGTAAGTTGGGGCAGCCTTTCCTGGAATCAGATGCATGGGGCAGGGATGCTCTTTTTGCCTCCTTCATCTGTTCCTTTTTTTTGTTTTTACTTTGATGTTCCAGATTTAGAAGAAAAATCTTTATCTTCAACTAAATATATGCTACAAAAATATAAATGCATTGAATATAAAGTAGAGTTTTATAGATATATCATGAACTGATGATGCAACCTTCTCAGAGCACAAGCGCACTGCTCTAATCACTAGGCCAACATTCCTCAGTGACCCTAAGCGCAGCAGCAGATCCTGATGATTGTGCACTGAAATCCCAAATGTGCTGCTAAAGTTAAATATGTTTGTGAAAAAGTCATGTAAAAAGACTCATTCTAAGCTTTTTATATGTACACCAGTTTGGAACAAGCAGTTAGTGTCTTAAGGGGAAATAACCTTTTTCAAACAACATCAGGTTGGGTTTTTTGTGTGGCATTGTTATCTGAAATGGTCATTTAGAATCTACAATTTCTCTTAACTTAGATTATCTTCAGGGGCGGATTTACCATTAGGCAATACTAGGCAGTTACCCTGGGCGCCAAGTTCCTGGGGGCTCCATGAAACTCCTACATGTATAGTTTATTCCTTATTTGTGCACAATAATTATGTTTTTGATAAAAATCCTTTTCACCCCTCTTCAGTGTCCACCATATTGGATCAGTCCATTTGCTGCACATGTTCAGAAAGGTCCAAACAGACAGCAAACTATTTAAAAACAAGCGATGCAAAGAGCAGTGTTGCTAACTTAGCGCTTTAGTCGCTATATTTAGCCACTTTTCAGACCCCTCTACACTGGAAAAAATCAAAATCTAGATAAGTCATTTTTTCTTAAAATAAGTGCATTTATTCTTGAATTGAGGAGGAAAACGAGACATTTTGCCAATGGAACAAGACAATTTAGATTTAAAATAAGAAAACACAATTGCATTGTCTTATTCCAAGTGCATATTATCTAATTATCTTATTTTAAGGGTAAAAATACTAATTCCATTGGCAAATTATCAAATTTACCTATTCAAATCAAGGGTAAATACACTTAATTTAGGTGATTTTTACCTATTTCTAGATCATTTTTGCAGTGTAGCACTTTGATTTCTAAAAAAGCGCCACATCTAGAGACTTTATTCTGCTACTGGAGAATTTGGAGACAAAATTGGAAAGAAGAGAGGGACAAAACCTAGAACAAATAATGTTCTATTAACAAGTATAATGGATCTTTTTTATGGCCCCCCTGGCTGTCTTTGCCTAGGACCCCAAATGTCCTAAATCCGCCCCTGATTATCTTTGTCTAATAAATTTGGGTTGATGATCTGAAACTTGTAAGAGTGAAAAAAAAGACCAGAAAACTGCAGCTCTGTAAAACATTAAAGAGAAGCAAAGTAAACAAAGGAAAATACATTTCAGAACTTATTTTAAGTCTTAGAATATGAGAGATTGTAATAAATGGCCCTCCCCGCTCACTCAATCCTCTGAATGTTAAAGTATTTGAGTGTTGCAGAGGTTGAACAGCAACCGGCTGCCTGATAAGAAACCAAAGCCACAGGTTAGCTCAATCTTTGCCTCCCACTTAGTGCAGAGGTTTCAGGAGCGTAAAGTCCGTTTGACACCAGCAGCTGATGGTTCAGCTGCTCCCTCTGAATCCCCGGCCTCCGTAATCGTTTGCCTGTCAAGTGCCTGCCGCTGCGCAGTGTGCATATTTAATCATAACAGTAATCCTCTTACCTTTCTACAGTTAAATTTCCAGGCACCAAAACCTACATTGACCCCGAAACCTACGAGGACCCAAACAGGGCTGTCCATCAATTTGCCAAGGAGTTGGATGCCTCCTGCATAAAAATCGAGCGTGTTATTGGAGCAGGTGAGCCCATCCTCAGCTCCTCCTGTTTAGCTGCTACCTTCTCTCATACATCATGCTGACAGGCAAATATTTACACCTTGAATAGGGGACACAGCTTCATGCATCTTATATTGATAGAGCAATTGCAAGGAGGGGAAAAAAGTTCATTGCAATTAATGTGTGGTCTGCATCTGGCAGAGGGAGTCACGGAGATAACCGCAGGTGAAAAATTGCTGCCACATGGGTTTTAGCGAGGCGGTCAATGACAGTATCTATGCATCTCTAGCATGTCTTATTATAGGTCTTGGTTACACTCCCCCGGGTGGAACAAGGTGTCGTGCAGCAATTTGTATTCCAGCACTACACAGCTGCTTTATCTCAAAATACACTAATAAATTTGTCATTGTGAAGCGAATGAGGTTTTTCTCTCCTTTTTAAACCTACACTCGTGACTGATTTCAACCCTCGCAGGAGAGTTCGGGGAGGTGTGCAGCGGTCGACTGAAGCTGCCTGGGAAGCGGGACGTGTCGGTCGCCATAAAGACGCTGAAAGTGGGCTACACCGAGAAGCAGAGGCGGGATTTCCTGTGCGAGGCCAGCATCATGGGACAGTTTGATCATCCCAACGTGGTCCACCTGGAGGGGGTGGTGACCAGAGGTGGGAATCGCTGCTTTAGCCTTCATGTGAACACAGAACAAAATGTAGGAATGACAATTTGGTGGATTTAAAGTCATAGGGAAATCATATTTTAATGTCAAATCATTCTGGCTTAAACATGTCTATAAATATACTCTTTATCAGACATTGATACTATCCCAAAATTTAGAAAATCTATATTTAAAATAAATCCCGTCTTAAAATCTGTTTTTTCTTCGTTATCTTATTCAGGCCAGTTAGTTCTACGTCAGCCTGAACACCTAAATTCAGCCAATCATATATCAACGGTCATCTGTCAATCACATTTTTTCGGTCATAGCATCTTGATTCATATATAGCAGCCAATATACGCAATGATTCAAATAAGAAATAAGAATAATTTATTTTCCTATTAAGTTCATTGAAAAATAATATCTACATAAGTATTTTTTTCTTAAAATAAGTGCATTTATTCTTGGATTGAGGAGGAAAACAAGACATTTTGCTAATGGAACAATACGTAAACATTTCTTAAATTAAGTGTGTTTACCCTTAATTAGAGCAGGTAAATGAGATATTTGCCAATTGAATGAGAATGTTTAGCCTTAGAATAAAATAATTAGATAAAATGCACTTGAATAAAGACAATAGATTTTTTTTTCTTATTTTAAATGTAAGTTGTCTCATTCCATTTGAAAAGAGTCTGACTTACCTCCCAGAATTTAAGACAAAATGTATTTATTAAAAAAAAAAAGGACTTATTTAGATTTCAATTTTTGCAGTGTGTTTATATATGATGTTGCTTTATTGCTTTATTACATACCACATTTTTTTTCTCAGTTAATTTTATGTCTTATTGCTCATTAAGCCAAAAGGTTAATATATGTATAAACATGCTGAAAAAATCTAAATAAGTAATTTTTTCTTAAAATAAATGCATTTAGTCTTGAATAAAGGAGGAAAGTGAGACATTTTGCCAATGGAACAAGACAATTTACATTAAAAATAAGAAAATACAATTGCATTGTCTTATTTTAAGTGAATATTATCTAATTATCTTATTTTAAGAGTAAAAATACTAATTCCACAGGAAAACTATCTAAATTAAGTACTCAGATTAAGGGTAAATACTTTTACTTTTTACTTATTTCTAGATCGCTTTTCTAGTGTGCTAGCACTAAGATGCTAACTGGTTAGCAAGATGCTTCCAACAAACCAGCCACAATCAAACTTGCTTATGAACCTTCCGCTACAACAATCCCGCCCCCTTGATAAACAACTAATCACATTCACTTTATTCGCTCGTGTAAAGTCGTGCACCACTGGGAAATGCAACGTCAGAACAGGGACTTCCCTATAAATTTAAGTGAAAATCAGGCTGTAAATGCATGTAAACAAGAAGTAGACAGAAAACAAACAGAGAAGAGAAGCTGATTAAAGATTCCATTAAAACCCAAACTGGATCACCAGCTGATGAAAAAGCCACAGCCTTAAAATGTCAAAATCTGCACATTAATATGGCTTTTCTGCCTGTAGAGGAGTCTTAGTGTGGTGCCCCCCTGATAGTAGAGGGAAGCAGACTTCCTGTGTACACGGCAGGATTGTAAAGATGCAGCAGCAGGATGCAGAGATATTTTACATTTCCTAAAGATCTTGGAGGAAAACAGGACAAAAAGCAAATTCTTTTGACCTCAAAAAATGTTGTTTGTGTTGGACTGTTTGTGAAGACACAAATTAAGGCCTTTACTGGTGCAGCCTGGCAACCGCTAACCATGAGACGGCATGTATGAGAGAGCGCTTCAAAAAAAGCTGCTCTTCAAAGGCCAGAATCTTGTTTATTTGGGGCTTGTGTATGGGAGCACCGAATATGGGAGATTAAAGGGTGGAAGATGTTTTATTTACTCACTGAGAAAAATCCCTGGTCCTGATGGCCTCAAATGTGACGAGGAGATCTCACCATGGATTTCAGCATTTTTTCAGCACCAAAGGAGCTTCAGGTTAAACGGCGTGGGCCTCCAGCCTCCATCTGGCAATGAGGGGGACGCCCCTCCTAACAGAGGGTCCTCGTCTTTCTACAGAAGCCTGTTCTATCTGATAAAGGAGGAACGGAGCGCTTTGGGATCTTCCTGCATATTCTAAAGATCTAAACCGAGTGGAAATACAGAAGATGGGAAAGAAGGTTCCCACAACTAAACATCCAGATCCCTAATAAAGTCGTAATCGCTCAGCTTCAGGAAACCTCTCCGTATTAAGATTTAACTCTTTATAGGGTGCTCAGTGAAACACTACAAAAAAAATAAAATCTAAATTTGAAGCCAACACTGCAAAAATGATCTAAAAATAAGTAAAAATAAGTTAAATTAAGTGCATTTACCCTTAATTTGTGTAGGTAAATAAGATGATCTGCTAATGGAATGAGTATTTTTACTCTTAAAATAAGATAATTGGATAAAATGCACTTGAAATAAGACTATGTAATTATTTTCTCTTATTTTAAGTTTAAATCATCTTGTTCCATTGGCAAAGTGTCTCCATTACCTCTTAATTTCAAGAAAAATGTACTTATTTTAAGAAAAAATCACTTATTTAATTTAAAAGTTTTGCAGTAAATAGCGTAATTGGAATCCAAGACAAGACATTATTACCTTTGTAATATTAAAAAAAATAAAATATGGACATTTTGATGATAAGAATGAATGTAAATGTAATAACAAGAAACATCACTTGCCCGAATATATTAAGAAAAATAACAAATCTGCTTCTAATAAATTTCTGAAAAACACACTGAGAGGGAAAGAGACAAAGTTTATTTGGTCCAACATAACTTTAGAGGCATTCATGCTGATACTGGCACTTACATTATTTAGTTTATAAACCTAAAAAGAGTTGTTAACTCTGCTTATTAACATTTTAACTTTTCAATGAGCTTTTTACCATTTTTCTTGACTTAACCTTTTTTTCCAACTTCTTTTACAGCAGTTAATCTATCATTCTAGAGCTCATCTAAATGGTCAAATGCCAAAATAAGATGAACAGCCATGTAGCAGGATCTTTGCTGAATGGCTGGATATAGATCTAGTGCTTCTAGACCTCACTCAGGAAGGGGTGGACTCCTTCTGTAAAGGGTATGCAAGGGATCAAAGACACTAACCTGCCCTATAAAGGGTTAAAGAATCATGAATCAAGATGAACAGAAGGCCTTCTAAACATTGAGTCCTTTTTTAACACCCACAGTTTTGTTTATTTGGTGCTTTTTATTTTAAAGCTCCTATATCCTGGCTAATTAAGCCTTCTAAAGTCAACTGTAGGCATTTATATGATGAAATAGTGCCTTTAAGAGTTAAATATGACCTGTTATGTTACAATCTAGAAGAAAGACACCTAGAGCTGCTGCAGCATCTTATTGAGCCTTTTTTGCATTAAACATTAGCCAAAGAATCCACTCGGTCACCTTTCAGTAGAAATGCTGGAGGTCTGACTCACATCACCATCACAGGAGGGGGAGGAGGATTCATGAGGATTACTCTGACATGCATAAACCAGCTAAATACCATTTTACACAGGATTCATATGAAGGAATAGCATTATAACACAGTTAAAAGCTCATAAAAGGGAGTTTTTTCATGATATAATAAAAAAAAAGTTGTAGTTTTTTTTATTAAAGTGCTGAGTCATATATTTTGATCAGGAGTGTACATCTGGTTAAATAAGCTGCTCTCTTTTAAACATTTTCTCATTTAGAGACTAATAAAAGGAACAGATGGGAACCTCTAATTAAAAGCAAATGAAACATAACTATAAATAACTTGGAATCAGTTCTGGTTCAGCCATTGTTTTGTGAGGTATTAAGAAAGCCAAATTCAAATTAGATATCCATTAATCATCTGCTCTTTGTTTTGTGCTTTTCTCCATCTTTCCTTTCAGGAAAACCGGTGATGATTGTCATCGAGTACATGGAGAACGGCTCATTAGATGCTTTCCTCAGGGTTAGTATCACCTCCCAAGTTGCTGCAGCATCTTTTCCAACTTTTCTCTACACTTCTCCTGGTGTCCCAGTGAGCAGGGAGTCTGCAGCGGGGAGTCTGTGTGCTCTGCATGAATATCATAAATCTTCTAACTAAAGCTGGTGCAGCCTTGCAACCTAAATACCCCCCCTCCCCCACTGGTCAGTGAAGATGGCTGACCTGTCTGTGTTTTTCCATGCAGAAACACGACGGTCAGTTCACAGTCATCCAGTTGGTGGGGATGCTGCGGGGCATTGCAGCAGGAATGAGATATCTGGCTGATATGGGCTACGTCCACCGAGACCTGGCTGCGCGGAACATCCTCGTCAACAGCAATCTCGTATGTAAAGTCTCAGACTTCGGCCTGTCAAGGGTGATAGAGGACGATCCCGAGGCTGTCTACACAACAACTGTGAGTCAATTAAATAGCTTGTTCTCTCCTACCAAGAGCCTTGTCTGAATTCTCTAATCAAGTTGCTGCTGGTGCATGAAAATGGAGCAGAATAAGATGAGCGTGTCCAGGTAGTCTCAGGCAGTAAAGCCAACTTTCATTTAGGAGCTCTACCAACAGGCTTTGCTTCTACGTTTCATTCGTTTAGTTTAGCAGTCAGGAAATGTTTAATTAGGATGCTGTTTTTTAAATGTTGGTAATTCAATGAGCATAAATGTCGAGACATGAAAACATGAAAGGCAAATGGAAGACACTTTTCAACCTCTGCTAACCAACTCCCTGAACCGTTCCTTAAAAAAGTCTCCCAAAGGGTTTTAATTTGTTTCATTTCATATTTACTTTCTGTCATAAAACTCTAAATTATTTGCACCTTACAGAAGTATTCATACACTTTGAACTTTAAAGGAAAATTCCGGTCGGTTTTTAACACTTTTAGCCCATTTTCTGTAGTGTCCAGGATGAAATCGAATGATCGACACCAACATTTTGACAATTGGTCCTTTCTCTGCTTTTTGGCTCATGTAGAATCCCCCCCTGGCTGCTTCAGAATGGCTTGCATAGTGCATGTCAGATAATGTCCTTAAAACAACCTTAAATGTTCTTTTTTTAAAATATGCTACTCACCGGGTC